GGCCCCCATCCTCACTCCAGGAAGGGGAGGGGGGCAGGAGGGAAGCCCTGTTTGCTCTCGGTCTCGGGACCCGTGACATCGGTCGTACGAGTTAGGCCAAGAGGCGTTCGCTTACGGGGGGCAGTGCAAGTCGCTGCTGCAGCTGCTCAGCGCCCTGCTCGTCGTCGTCGCCCTCTACAGGACCAGGCTGTCCCCCAAGGTCGTCTACGCCGCCTGCATCTTCGCTGGGGCGGGCGCCAGCTACGCGGCCGCCTTCTTCGTGAAACACAACGTCGACCTCGCGACGGCCTGCATGGTGCTGTCGGTGTTGCCCCTCGTCGGCTCGCACGGCATCCCCTGGGGCCTCCTCGCCGCCAGTAACAGGGCGGCGGAAGAGCAGGGCCTCCGCGTGAGCACCGCGCTGCAGATGGCCCTGCTGAACTGCGGCCTTGTGGTCGGGCAGCAGATCTGTCACGTCACGCTCGCGGCCCTCGAGAGCTTCGTGGCGCCTACGCTGGCCCTCCAAGCTATGATGGCCTGCGGCGCGGTGGCCCTGGCTATGGCAGGCGCCGGCGCGCTCCTGATCCCGAGCGGCGCCGAGGAGTACGGCGCGCTGGGCGCGGGCGGGCGTGCCGACGGCGCGGAGCCCGAGGAGCCCTAGCGCGCCACGGCGGGCGCGCGGAGAGGTGCCGGGCAGAGTGCGCGCGCGCGGGCGGGCGCAAAGGCCCCGCCCGCGTCATGCAGGAGTGCCTTCGCTCCTGTCCCTCCGCCCGTGTCTGGTCGGGCGGGGGGCGTTTTCCTCGCCAGACATGCGACGTCCTGATTTTTTCAAGACGGAGTCCCTGGAAATCCCGACCTGTTCCCCAGGACCGGTTTTTCCATCTTTGGTCGTTTTTTGACGGTCCCGAGGCCCAGCGAGGGCCCCCCGAGGCCGAAATTGGCCCAAAACCTCCCGTCCAGTTTTTTTTGTTTTTTGGGTTTGCGACGCGAGCATGTCTGGGTCGACCTGCCTTCCGCACCTTCCGCGCGGCACGTGCCGCGCTGCCGCAGCCGCCGCCGCGGCTCTAGGCCGCACCGGCGGCACCAGCCATGAGAGCTGGGAGGCACAGACCGCGCCCCCGCGCGCAGCCACGGCGCAGCCTGCCGGTGCGAGCCTTTGTCGACTCGCCAGCACGGCGCACCTTAACGTCTCCAATCCGAGCTCTTGCTCGCTCCGGCTGCTGCTCCGCGCGCCGAGGTTTTTCGACCGCCACCTGACGCGTGCCGAGGCGCCCTGGACTCCTGGTGCGCCCGCCCGTGCCGCCCCGTGATCGAGCCTGGAGTGCAGTTTGTGGTGGCCTCCAGCCGCCCCGGCCTTTGAAAGCCGCGGGGTGTAAGCAAGCGTCGGACGGGGCGGTCTGCCAAGGGCTTGGCCCATCAACTTTTGAAGAACTCCTCTGAAGCTTACCATTTTCCCTCCCCGCCCTTTGGGACGCGCGGAGAGGGGGGTGGGGGAGGGGGGCGGGCTTCTTAGAAGCACCTCTGCTTCTTCGAAGGCGCGGGCCTTATCTATAGATGTAAGGCCGGCGCCTTCTAAGAAGCAGCCTCTTTCTAAGAAGCCCTCGCCCCTCCCTCCCACCCTTTTGTGCGCACCGCCAGCCCTGCTTCCGGCCCCCCCGAAGTGGGGCTCGGTCCTGCAGGGGGCTGCACGGCGTTTGAGCTCCCGTGCAGAGGTGCAGCACGTGAGGGCAGCCGCTCCCGTGCAGAGGGGCAGCACGTGAGGGCAGCCGCCCTCGTGCCCTTGCCCGTGTGGGTCGGCCTCCCGTGGTACAGACCGCGCGCTTCGCCCCCTTCCCCCCCACCCCTCTCTGTCCCCGCCGTCCTCACACATGGCCAGCCGCCCTCCTCCTCCTCTTCCTCCTCCTCCTCCTCCTCCTCCTCCTCCTCCTCCTCCTCTGTCTCAGCTTGGTCGAGCGGAGCCGGCCCGCGCTGCTGCGTGCGGTTCTCCTCGCTCTCGCCGTCCTCGCCCTCCTCCGCGCTGGGATGTCTGTCCGCCGCCAGAACATGGACGACGCAACAGAAACAGGGGTTGTCTTCGTTGACATTGGCGCGTAAGCGCTGCCCGCGTAAGTTTGCGCGTCGGTGCCCTCATCCCACTGTGGCTTGCCGCGTAGATGGCCCGCGTAAATCGCGGCGGAAGGTCGCTGTGCCACCTCGCGTAAGACCCGTTTTGGATCGTCGCTCGCATGTCCATATCCGCTGCTCGAACATGTCCATATCCGCTGTTTCCCTGAGATCCGACGTGCCGAAGAAATTGCAACATCGTCAAACATCCCGCTCAGAGAGCCCTCGATCCCATCTTTCTGGATCACTTTCCGAGCCGGATCGATCTGCGAGGGCCCCAGGGCCGGACAAAGGGCAAAGGGCGAGAACGCCCGGCTCGAAAAATCGAGCTGTCAGTATCTCGGGGTCCCCGAGTCACTGGGGGGACGCGACCCCGCGGAAGTGGACATGGACGTGTTCTGGCGGCGTAGTGTGCCCG